CACATTACAGGAGATGCCGTTCTCCGATCCAATTTCCAAGGTGCCATCGATTATTTAACAACACAAGTCTTAGCTGCCGGTAACGACAACACCCAGCGCCGCAATCGACAACTTGCTGCCTTTACTCCTGGTGGTGGCGGACGCGGTGGTGATGGTAGAAGTGGAGGTCGTGGCCGAGGAAATGGCGCCCCAAATCGCCTGCAATCGAATGTTCCAGATTGCTTTAGCCGCAATGGGATACTACTAAATGATGGAGGTTATTCAAATCAAATCTGGAGAGAGGAGTTTACGCAAGAAGAAAGAGACATCTGTTTAGCAATGCGTCGCAACCGTCGCAATGGTGGTTGTCGTGGCGGAAGAGGCCGTGAAGGCCATGGTGGTCGTGGTAGAGGTCGTGGTATCAGCGCTGTCCATGATGGACGAGCTGATCAAGAAGAAACAAAGGAAGAAAATAACAATGATGGGCGTGGGGCAGGTGCAGGAATGAGTCGTTGCCGTCGCAACAATCGTGACGATGATTGACTAGGAACCTCATCTATTGGATCCCTCACAAGCATTCGCCCAAACTCTCGCATGGTATCAGTGCTATCATCCACAAACACCCTTACCAACCGATGTGAACTGGACCCGCACGCAGATACATGTGCTTTTGACCCTGCTGGATGTTGCGTCCTTTCAATGTCCTCTCAGTCAATAAATGTCACCGGTTTTCACAATGGTTTGAATATAAATGATGTTTGAATTGGAAATGTCTGTCTTGCCTATGACTGTCCTTTTGACCATCGAACCTACTGTCTGCATTTCTGTGAAGTTCTTTTGATCCCTGGTCTAGGATCGCATCTACTCTGTGTCGATCAACTGCGTGCCAACAGCGGCCTGAACAACGAAACAGAGAAGCTCATGCTATTTTGACATCGGGTATACGAATTCCGCTCCTATTTGACAAACCAATTTCCTATTTTACATGTCGCCAACCTACCGATGAAGAGGTCAGCGATATAATGGAGTTTCAGCCTGTTTGGATGACTGCAGACATTCCTTGGCAGCCTTATGATCCTGATTCCAGGCGCCAAG